AACAAGACATGTACTTATATAATTCAGTCAGGATCTCGTTTATTCAGTTCTTGAAATAGTTTAAAGTCTTACAGAATTTTAGTTTACAGTTTTAGACTGAAATAAAATTCACATAAGTTTGAAGTAAAACCAAAATATCTATGATTTTGGTTCTCAAAAATACAGTCTTCCAAATAAGGCATGTCCATATAGAGTTCCACACAGCAAGCTTTCCGAAAAATAACTTGAAAATTATATTGAAATAATTTAGAAATATTTGTGAAACATTTTATCGAAATCTTTTTCACTAAAATATTTCAGAAATTGCTTATAATAGGCGTTGATTTATACAGAGAGTGTCTCACACTCTCCTTCGGGCATTTTGTGGGGACGTAAAACAGGTTGAGGTGAACATAAAAGTCCTATACCGTTTTGCGATATTCGCAATAATTATCGAGATATTAATTGTAGAAAATTTGTGAATGATCATGGAGGATATGGTAAATGAGTTATAATAGTGACGACTGTCGTCGTGTACTTATACTTTAGGTTATATTGAACAAAAAAGTCATCTATCATTTTGCAAATAATTATATAGATTTTTAATTATTAATTAAAGAAGATGAGTGCATTATCACGCAAAATCGTGCAATAATCTTCTTTAATTAATAATTAAAAATCTATATAATTATTTGCAAAATGATAGATGACTTTTTTGTTCAATATAACCTAAAGTATAAGTACACGACGACAGTCGTCACTATTATAACTCATTTACCATATCCTCCATGATCATTCACAAATTTTCTACAATTAATATCTCGATAATTATTGCAAATATCGCAAGACGGTATAGGACTTTTATGTTCACCTCAATCTGTTCTACGTCCCTACAATATGCCCGGAGGAGAGTGTGAGGCATCCTGTATATTAATGTAAACATCACACTTTGCTCAGTGGTCATATGATTTTCAGAACGATGGGATATCAAGCAATTGTTAAGCGATAGTGATTTTGCGGCAGTTTTCAGTGCCACGTGAAAAGATATCTTTTTGAAGACTTTCACTCTGTGTGGAACGGTACAACTATTGTGAATGGCAATTGGCGAGTGGTTTTAATGCATCGAATGCATCCGTGCGCGCAATTTCTTCGATTTTCATTTCTCTGCGGAGGGAGATGCATCGAGGGAGTTCGAAAATCGCTCTGAAATCTTCTCAGGGTAGGTGGAGAGGACACCGCTCGTAATTCATGTTTTGAAAATCACCGAATAACGTACATTAGAGTAATATATTACGTGATACATTTTTTCCACGATTCATCAGCTATTCTGGAATTCAGAATAATGACTGTATTTGTATCTGCCTTATTTCGCGTCTTATATTTCTTTTTTGACTCGTGACACTTTTTCGATAATGGTTGTTTTCTTGCTCGAGTAAAATTTATTTTAAGTACATTCCTAAAAAATTTAGAATTCCAAACAAGAAGTTAAATTAAAACGGAAAACAGTTGCTTACTACATAGAGTCAAACCTGCTTTTTTTCCGATAAAGTTTTATACAAATTCTTGTGAAGAGAGAGAACAAAAATTCTTCTTTTGAGTACATGATAATGAGTTTTTATAAAATTTATCATGAGTACTTTTTACGATTATATCATCAATAAAATATTTTTTGTCAAAGATAACCATTATTTAAAAAAAGTACAGTAACTGAGTGATAACTTTTCTCTTAGTAGTATAATGATATTTTTCTTTATACAGTCCAAGTATAAAATTCTATCAAAATATATTGAGATAATCGAATATTAAATAAGTAAAAAAAATAAGTAAAAAGTTTGAATATCAAATAATTA